AGGCCTAGGAGGGTAGGGTAGACTCAGTAAAGGGGATTGTAGGCCTAGACTAAGTGAGGACACGAGATTTGTCCTCACTTATTTTTTTTGTCCTGAGATTAATAAGAAAATATAGGCGATTGTCCTCACATTGGATAGGTTTACCAGTACTAATACTACTACTACTACTAATACTACTACTACTACTACTAATAATAATAATGATGATGATGATGATGATGATGATGATGATGATGATGATGATGATGAATATTTCATTCATAAACTTGTTCCATGTTAAAATAAACATTAGGAATGCTGTATAGTGACGCATATGTGCCAACATAGGATGCATGAGATAATTAAGGGTCTTCGTTTTTTAAACACCCTATATAAGTGTCTACACAACGAAGACCGATGACCCGACAAATGAAGATCCACATTTTTTTTCTCTCAATTGTGATGAAATAATGAAATAGGTACTTGTGAACCGATTTATGATGATTTTGAAATACTTTCATTAATATATTCAGTCGATCAGTGTGAAATAATGGCAATGTGGTACTTGGACATTTCGCAGCATGCCAGTTTGCCGACGGACGTTTGGCGAACAGACAGATGACCGGAAGAAAATTCACCGACACCGGAATTCGCCGAAATCGAATTTACCGACTGGACGATTCGCCGAAAGCCAATTCCCCGACAACCAATTCGCTGACAGACATTTCGCCGACAATTTATTTTTGTGATGTGATTGATGATTTTTCGTCGTACTAGGACATCTTGCCGCATGCCAGTTTGCCGACGGACTTTGGGCCGACAGACACTTGACCGAAAGAACATTCACTGACACCGAAATTCGCCAAAATAGAATTCGCCGACTGGACGTTTCGCCGATTGGACGCTTCGCCGACAGCCGATTTGCCGACAACAAATTCGCCGATAGACATTTTGCCGACAATTTTTTTTTGTGATATCGTGATTGATCTACCTACCTACCTACCTACGGTACCTACCTATCATCATACAGCTCTATAATAAACACGCGTTCATGTATATTTTTTATTAAACATTACTAAGAAAATCATAAGCGATTGTAATAACTAATTTAAACCAATATAAAGGGCTTTTTTTAAATTGGTACAAATTGTTATAAAATTAACACAGGATAGAAGATACCAGGTGTGAATTTACTGCAAATTTAAGGAAAAATTGAAATGTACACAAAATACTTTAAAGTAATAATATTTCAAATGTTTGAAATGCACCTGAATACGACGTAAAAATATACAGTAGAGTTTAAATGCACAAGTGGAGGACACATGACATAATTAATTGGTTGGTATCTTTTATTCATTCACGTATAAAATTCAAAATATAGCAGCACAAGCTGAATTTCAGTTTGAATGCACGGTACAAATTAAGCAAATCAACAAATTAATGTTTATATACAATTCAACAAATGAGGAATAAATAAGTTAGCCATACACAAGTTGAATTTAAAAAGGCCAAATTATATGTCACAGTCATTGTGTTTGTAGCTGGAACCCACACTATTCTATTATACCACTCAGTTATACCAGGGAACAGTTAGATCACCTGTAATTTAACTTTTCCCTCGTCATACCTGTACTAAATATCAATTAACCATTAATGCTTTATCATTACTATAATTGTCACCGTGGTATTTCATAAATACCGTAAAACCTGTGTTTGAAGTTACTTCATCACGAGATGAAGCCCATCTAGAATTGAAGCCCCCTCTTTAGTTTCTAAAATTAGCCTCGAAAAAAGCCCATGGGTTTCGTTTCAAGATAGCATAGGCTTTTTTTCGAGGCAATACATACACTGTACATGAATTTCCAAAAACAAAATAAATTTAAAACAAGCTTGGTTTATACAGTAGTTTTGGTGATTTAATTCCAGTTAAATACACTCCATGATACAGATTGATGATACAATGACCTTATTTATTGTTTCATATTACGAATTCACAAAATTTACAGCATTCATTTTGAAAAAAGCCCACTCCTCCACCCCCACCCCAACAACCCATCTCTTTATACTGCAAAAGTAGCCTCGAAAAGAAGCCCATATCGAAAAAAGAAGCCCATCCAAAGTTGGCAAAAAATAGAAGCCTGGGCTTCAATTCGAGTTTTTACGGTATTAGCGAACGTAGGTCCTCAAGTAATAGTATTGCTTTAACAGTATAACTTTATCAGCTGTTTCGAATGGAGGATTTGGTCGTAGGGGTACGAGTCCACACGACCTCAAGCCCATCATTGATGGGGCGGAGGTGCGAGCATTTTGAGAATATTGACCTCTGCTATGTGCCCGGAAAGTTTAGTCTCATACCTTAAAAAATGTACAAGTACTATGTACATATCAACAATACGATAGAATGTTTCTTAAACAAAATTTGGAGGTGGAGGGGGTGCGATCGCATCGTTGCAGTCCTGCATCTGCCCCAGATTATTATCTGTAAGCTGTGCACAATATTCTATAGTAGAAGGTTTTGGACACCGAAAAATAAACAATCTAAATATGCCATTTGCCACCATCTAAGTTTGTGACTTGTGACACATCCATCTATTAACATGTTCACAAAAAATGTCGGCGAATCGTCGTGTCGGTAAACTGGCATTCGGCAAAATGTGGTGTCGGCAAAATCTCGTTTCGGCGAATGGTATTTTGGTCAATAGTCTGTAGGCCAAATGTCTGTCGGTGAATCATCTAAATATTCCACTATGTGACACATCCATCCATTAACATGTTTAAAAAAAATGTCGGTGAATTCGCTGTCGGCGAACCACCCTGTCGGCAAACTGACATTCGGCGAAATGTGGTGTAGGCAAAATCTCGTATGGGCGAATGCTATAGTCTATAGGCCAAATGTCTGTCGGTGAAACGTCAGGCCACGAAAAATAATCTTCTAAATATGCTACCTGGTGACACATCCATCCATTAACATGTTCACAAAAAATTCGGAGAATTGTCTGTCGGCAAATTGGCTGTCGCAAATTGGCTGTCGGCAAACTGGCATTCGGAGGAATGGAATTTCGGTAGATAGTCTGTAGGCCGAATGTCTGTCGGCCAAATGTCAGTCGGTGAAACGTCCGGCCACGACAAAATGTCGGTGAATTGTCTGTCGGCAAATTATCTGTCGGCAAATTGTCTGTCGGCAAATTGGCTGTCGGCGAACTGGCATTAAATAACCACATAAAATGTACAATAATCATTTCACTACCTGACAAACCCCGAACTTTATTCATGCATTAGGCCTACATAATAGTTTTAACTTGCTGTACTAAATACTCCAATATCATAAGCGCATGCTAACAACTAATTGCAGACCATTTCCGGTCACACATTACTCTCCATAACACAGCACCACCTAGCCTAGTTCCGTCACCTCTGTGTAAACAAACCCTAATACCCACTATACCCACTATAAGTCACGTGATGCGGGATACTAAAGGGGATTCCCCAAAGAGTCAACATCGATAAATAGCATGGGGTCGTAAGATTGACGTTTTTCGTGGTTGTTTTTATACAGAATAGGCTACATTAACCCATCCAGGCCCACCATTTTTTTTTTTTTTTTTTTTTTTTTTTTAGTGACATAAAAATAATTAAATATAATTTTTTTCTGTTAGAGTAATACAAATTCCTTTGATAAGAATTGAAAGATAATAAAATGTTTTTCCTAAATAAGTGGTTATATAGTGTTGTGAAATTTTTAAACATATTACAAAAATAACGATCATATTTCATATTTTTAATTACTCTAATCATTCAAGTTAATTAAAAAAGCACCAAGAAACATTTTTTTATAAAATTTTTTGATATTTTCCCGAATATTTAATGAAAATACATGCACACATTACTGCACATACGTTTTTTTTTTAATTATTGTTAATTAATTGATTAATTACTGACGATAATTAGAGAGCGCTTAAAGCGCTTATGGGACTGAATGGGGAACCTGAAAATTAAGGGAAACCTTATGGTATTTGTTTAACCACCTGAAAGATTGATTTTGTGCTGTAACTTTGTGGATTTGCTGTCTATGGTAAGCATAGTCTTAGCCAAGATCCGTCTTTTGGACGGTCTACAGTTATTTATTAGGAAGGCCACTTTTACCGTGATGGCTTGAACGGCTTGGCCTAATCAGCTCAGCCTAGCCTAAATTGGGACTGGTCTACCTTCAGCAAATTCTTTTAATTCTTCAAATCTATCGAATGTTACGTCATTATAAACTAAAGATCATATTTACGTTTGATAAAAACAACATTTATTGATTGGGATTAATGTACGTTGTTTTCGTACTATCCAATATTCGGTAGGGATTCCAGTGATGGCGCCAGGACCTGCCCGACGCCGACGGAGGGGCTAAAAAAGCCCGACGGGGGTGTGGGGGGGGGGATAGTGGAGCGAATGTCGGATATTTGATGAATCGCGGATTTTTATTACTTATTTGATAGGCGTCGAGTTACTCTATGACTTCATGTGGGCTATGCTTTTAATGTTGAAATCAGTTACCAAAACCAAAACACACAGATGATGGTGGAATAGATATGAAAGCGATTGTGGGTGGCGTTGATATTAATCTTTGGTGATTGAGAATATACATGGTTACGACGATAATGATTAGGCCTATGATAATGATAATGGGATTCCTATGGCCATGGCCCCGAGTGGGCGTGGCCTGCCAATCGGCTCAGTGCCACGCCCACAATGGCTTCCATTTTGGAAGGCCTATATCGTTTTTCTGGCTAAACTCCTGATGGTAAGTGAAAACCTGTTGACTATTTCCACATCGCTTCTCTTGGTACAGCTTGGTAGGACTGAGCACTTTGTTGCACATAGTAAATAAATTATTTTGCTGTAAAACTCATATTGAGTGACAGTATAATATCAAATTACATATATGATACAAACACAGTGATGTATGATTCTCAAAAACTACAACCATATTGTTACATCAGGAAAACTGAAGGAACTATTTGGTATACCTGGAATGATATAGTTATGGGTGCTGCCACAAACAGTGCACTGACCAGCTAGATCACGCGTAGGCCTAAGTAAGGAAACTAGCACCAAGTGACAGTATGTGACTTATAATGTAAGTCAATCGTCACGTCATCACTGCAACTCCCTATCCCCCACAGTCCACCAATGTCCTAATTTGAACCAAGGTGACGAAAAAAGCCTGGAATGAAAAATAAATTCCAGGTTAAGATTCATGGGGAAAGATTTTTGTTAGATCAGGAACAGGTGTGCAAAGTCCCCATGCCCCATTGTATGTTGCTAGATAGATTTGTAGACCACATCAACTATAAAATAGCTGACTGTTTTCTTTTTCATTTTAGAAAATGGCCGAAAGCACTGCAATTTCAAAATCTGACAACTGTCGTGATGTGTGTGTTTGCAATATATGTGCCAATGAGTATGATGAAGGAGATTACGTTCCCAAAGTGCTACCCTGTTCACACACAATATGCCTTCTCTGTGTCAATAAATTAATAGTTGGTGGCTCCTTAAGTTGTCCAGAATGTCGACAAAAACACCCTGTACCAAAGGCACCAAGTACTCTTCCAACAAACAGAATTGTATATGAAATGATGGAAGCAGTAAAAGACAATTCAATTGGAACCACAGTCAACCTCGTGTGTGACCGCTGTGTGAGACCGGAATGGAAACGCAAAGCTACAGGATGGTGTTGTACTTGTCGAGAATACATGTGCCACTTATGCGAAAGACACCATAGAGTTGAAAAAGTATCAGCAAATCACAATATTAAAATTTTTCATCAAGCTAATGCAAGTTCAGAATATTACTGTGATTACCACAAATCGGAAATACTATGCAGAGTGTGTTTATCTTGTGGGCTTCAAATACTGTGCGAAAAATGTGATGGTCATAGGCCCAATGGACACAATGTAGTCACATTCAATGAATTTGATATTGAAAGTTTGTCTGATCAGATGCGTCAACAAGCCTCCATGATCCAAGGTTTTCAAACTATTGCAGTTACAAATAAACAACGACAATCAAGTGCCTACAAAAAATATTTTGACAGTATAGAAGATTCTAAAACAAGTGTACAGTCTCACACAGAGAAAATGATCGAAGTTCTTAGAGACAAAGAGAAATATCTTTTACAACAGTTAGACAATATGAAAATAATTGGTGGAAAGGAACTTAAGAATTCTGATGGGAAATTTCACAATATTCTTGATAGCATTGAAGAAGTCATGTCTGTAGGATTCCATCCAGTAGAAATGATCAGAGCTCATAAGCAATATGAGCTTTTCATACAGGATTTTCCGAAAACGCATAATGTAACACCATCTAGACCTTCTTACAACTTTTTGGAATTTGTACCTGGTAATGTTCATGAGTTTCAGAACAGCTTACAAAACTTTGGCAGTTTTCAGAAAGATTGTGTTGCACCAGAAAACACTGAAGTTCGTATAAAAACGGGAGTGCTACATTCTAGATCACAATGTCGGGTTAATTTGAGGAGGATGGACAAAACAGCTGCAAGTAACATCAACAATGTGTCAGTGTTAAAGGCACAAGTCTTGCATAACAAAAACCTCCTTAAAGATACTGTGATTTCAAATTTAGGAGGGGGAAGGTTTTCGGTATCATATACTCCTCATAATCTTTCAAACCATCAAATAAAGGTATGGGCATTTGATAACCTGGTTTGTGATGAAGTTATTCCCATTGTAGAAATATCAGTGAAAAATTTGGTACCCTCCATAAACCTGGCCAATGAATTCAATGTTACTATTGAACAGCGGTGCTTCAATAACATTTTTGGAGATAATGGGGAGGGAAGATTTAATCCATGGCCTGAATTTGAGGTTGTATGTAGGAACCAAGATGAGTCAAAATTGGAAACAAAAAAGCTAGAGTCTTTCATTGATACAGAAATATTTACATGTATTCCAAACAAGGTGGGAGTTGTTTCAGTTAATGTTTATCATGAAGCCAAACCATTACCTCTATGCCAGAAAGAAATGCTTGTATTTCAGAAAAGTATTGAGGTTGGTGAGAATTTGTGTTGTCAAGATTTCGCTGTATTACCAACTGGGGAGTTTGCGGTTGTCTGCTTTTCAGCACACACTTCTGGTCAACTCTGTTTATTAAAGTATGACGAAAATGGCAGTTTTATTAAAAGATGTGCAATGAGCAGACAACCAAAAGAAGTTACAAAGATATCGATGACCTGTGATTTTGAATCTAATTTGTATGTACTTTTTTGTGACAAAAATAATAATTGCTCTATTGATGTGTACAGTAAGAATTTACAATTCAAAGAAAATAATCCATACCAATCACATGTAGATGAATATGAAGATCTTCACTTGTGTTTCTTGAAGCTGAACTTAAAACATGAGATGATATTAAGTGATGCCGATAGTGCTTGCTTTTGGGTTTTGGGTAAAGAAGGAACTCTTCAAAAGAAAGTAACTCCTCATGGAGCAAAGCAGGAAGACATAAATGTCGGACACTTTTGTATGGACAAAGAAAATAAAATTGTTTTCTGTGATCGTCAGCAGGGAAAGGTGCATTACATTGATGAAGAAGGAAACATTGTTTGGACAATTCATCGGCTACAAGCTCCAAGTTTGGTAGCAGTAAATGATGACTCAGTTGCTATCTTTATTCAAGATCATATTTTGATAATTAAAAAAGATTCATTAGAAATAAAATTAAAGATACCATGTAAATTTAATATCTTTCAAATGTCACTATGCAAGAATGATGGTCTAATGATTAGTGATAGAGATATGAATTGCATTATGAAAGTTAATTAAGGAACTATAAACACTGAGGAAATAATACAATTACATGGTACTATGTACCATGTAAAATGCATGAAGCTTTTATTGGTAAACAACACAAATGTTTTCGGGCATTCATCAGGTCGCTCTTTATTACAGCCTGATGAAGTGCGAAAATGTGTGTTATATAGGCCTACAATAAAAAGTTATAGAAACTACACTTTTATTTCATGTTTTATGTACATCTATAATATAATCAGCACTTAGTAAAATATTATACATATATAATACATATACATACATTATATATATATAATTAAATATATATATATATATTATAATTAAATATTATATATATTAAATATTATAATTATTTTATTATTATATAATAACAATAGTAATTATTATAATAATTAATATTATAATTATTATTATATTATTTTATAATAATAATAATAATAATTATTAATTATTATTATTAAATATATATAATTCAATGTGCTTTGAAGCGGCAAAGAGTGCTCAATTGCAAGTTGTTGCAAGAGCAAAATATTTGAAACACCATCTACTACACGGTGTTTCACGCTTTATGCGATTCTCAGGTAGACTGAGTATAGCTCTGTACTACACATATATAGCTTTCAATCATCAGGTGGTAGGTAGATTTTCCTATTGTTATAGTGGTGGCATTTGGATATTAG